TGAATCTCCCTCGACTTTGCAGTGACCACCATCCCATTATGTTATGCCTCGATATGTTACATTCTCTTACCAAGAGCTTTAAAACTTTGCGGTTTGAGGCAGCTTGGTTAACTCATGAGAATTTTGGGGCTGTTTTTTCAAATGCTTGGTTAGCTCATGCTTATTCTCTGCCAAATGCAATCTCATCTGTTAGGGAAGCTTGTAATCGTTGGAATAAGGATGTTTTCGGAGATTTGTTTCAGCGAAAGAGACGTTTACAAGCTAGATTAGTAGGAATCCAGAATTCTCAGCATTACTTGACTTTCCACTTTTTACAAAGTTTGGAAATTGAACTCCTTGATGAGTACCATAGGGTGCTTCATGCCGAGGAACTTTTTTGGTGTCAAAAATCTCAACAAGATTGGATTGCCTCTGGAGACAAGAACACCAAGTTCTACTAAGTGTATTTTAACTAACCATTCTAAGCATAAAAGAATGATAATTATCATTAAGTTTTTAGCCACCAGAACATGCACTATGAGACACAAATATTCAACCATATATATATATAACTAATAGAAAATTGACAAAATAGTTATCTTGGTACATTTAAGTTCAAACTAAAATAATAGTTAAGTTATATGTAAAGCATGCATTTGTACACATTATTCAGTTAATATTATCAGCGCCACAAAGCATGTAGAATTCAAATAATAAGCCTTTATCAAGCCTCCAATACTGACAGACTAAGTTCATTAGTTGAAGATGATTCAAGTTTGATGGATGAAGAATTTGTTTCAAGTGATTTCTTGTCAACAAGGAAACCAGGTTCTTTCGGTTGCCCCAACGCAGTCTCACTACCCAGCATGAAAACCACAAATGACATATTTGGCCTATTCTCAGGGTGTTGTTGAACACATAAGATACTAATGTGGATGCACCTTAATACTTCAGATAGATTGCAAGTCTCCAATACAAATGAATCAATTAGTTTTGAAGGATTTCCCTCTTTCCACAATCTCCATGCCTATATACATAGTAAAAACTTTTTGTCATGTTCTAGTTCAAGGAAAATAAGAAAGGAGGTCTTGAATCTTGATACTTACATAGCCAATAAGGTTAACACTGTGGTTGAGATGGTAAAACTCCCTATTCTTCATTCCACTTATTAATTCCAACAATAATATTTCGAAGCTGAAAACATCAGATTTTACAGAGAATTGCCTATCGATGGCATGTTCCAATGCCATATAACCACTGCAAAAAAATTATGTGAGACAAATTATATCAATAGGAATTTTAGTAAATTAGGTAGTATAGAGAGGTTGCAACCATCATTTTGTGTTCTCCTTTGGTTGAGACAAATTATATTGAACAAGGATTTTGTAGTAAATTAGGTAGCATAGAAAGAGGACGTATTAGGTTCCAACCACCCTCTTTATGTTCCCATGAGATTGTTCTCCCCCAAATGTTCTAGCCATGCCAAAGTTTGTAATTTTGGGGTTCATTTCACTATTAAGTAAAATACTGCTTGCGTTGAAATCTCTATGTATGATCCTCAATTGAGAATCTTGATGTAGATAGACAAAGCATCTAGTGATTCCACAAATAATGTGAAAACACCTTTTCTAATAATTTCCTTCTTGTATCATCTGTTGTGAAACATGACCTTTGTATCAATGTAGTATTCAACTTGAGTTTTTGAAACAGGGTTGCGTTAAAATATGGAAAAATTTTGTTTTGAATTCATACTACTTCAAAGTTAATTGAATAGGTTTCAATTGAATATGATGAACCAAAAATGAAGAAGTCCAAACTTTTACTCGGCATATATTAGTAAATCAGCATTTTCTCCTCCATATGAATGCACCAACCTTGAAGGGTTGCAAGATTCCGATGTTGAAGTTTGGCTATAGTGCTGCTTCATTCTTGGACTCAACTGATCCTTGTCCGGAGCTTCTTGAGAGCCCCTTCACAGCAATTTCCTTTCCATCTGGCAGAGTACCCTAGAAAAATGTACTAGTAAAGTTCTTTTGATCTTAACAAAGACTTCTTACACAAATACTCATTTTCACAAGAGCTCTGAACATTTAGCTTGTATACAGACCCAAAACCACCTTCTCCTAGCTCGCTATGGGAAGAGAAATCATTGGTGGCCTTGGATATTACAGCTAACTCAAATGATGGGAGCTCCATATCTTCATTTTGCCTTTCACTACTCTGACCATTTTCTCTTCCTGAAAAGGTACAGAATTTAATCAAAACCAAACGGTGAGAAATGAACATGAGTTGTGAAGGCAAAGAAACATACCTTTTATGTTTCGATGCCTCCTGCTAATGTAATAGGTGATTACAACAACACTAATAAATCCAAAGATGGCTGTTGCAATTATTAGTGCTGCCCTCATTTTAGTCTTGCCTTTCGTCTCTTCATGGCTTGATTCCATAAAACAAAGAAATATATGAATTAGAGTCATGGAAGTAGTTTCACATATTACCTAAAAATAAAATTGGTGACACCCAATATAGATAGGAATCATAACATAACTTAATGAAATACTGAAATGCTAGGCTGAACTAAGAGTAACCCAATACCTAAATCAACAGCAGACATTCGAATGTATAAATCATGTCCGATGGACTGGACCTGCTTAAGATCAAATAGATCATCATACCAGATTCCACATCCACTGGCTTCTTTAATATCCAAGGTTGAATAGGCCATATAAGAACAACTCTCTAAGCATTTAGCCCTGCACTGATTAAGATCCATGCTTTAATTAGGGGTTTTCATATTCAATTCAATCCGATTGATTTGACTCAAATTGAGGTAATTCAATTAAAAACCAAATCAAACTTATATAAAATTAGATTGGTTTGAATTATAAAATTTTAAAATCAATATAATTGATTTAATTTATAAGTTTACTTTTCAATCACCTATACCGCCTTATTGCAAAATAAGATCTAATTACAATATAACATAATTAAATAATATAATATATTTTGTTGTAGTATTTAAATTTACTTTTTCTTGTTTCACAATATAATAACTACATTAACTTAGTTAAAAAAATAAAAATGGGGCATCCTCATATTCTCTAAATTATTTTTGCTTTTTAATCGTGCACTATAGCTCTAATTCTAAATTTCTAGTTTGTGTACAATTCTACCTTTTAAAATTAGTCTATGACTCTATTTTTAAAACTCTAAATTTTTAATTTGTTCTCAAAACAATATTTTGATTTTCCTAAAAGTTTCATTCCAGAAATCTTAAAACTTCATAATAAAATTATTCTTGATATTTTGTTATTCTTGAATATTTGGTTAAGGAGTAATAAATCTTGATTATGAATACTTCTAATCAATTCTAATGATATTCATTTTAATTTTTATCCACTTTTAACATGATTCGAAAGATGAGATTTAGTCGTCAATGCATTAAAAAAAAAAAAAACTAATTTTAACTTTTATGAATTACATGCAATGCACTTAAAATTTAGAGTCATTTTTTTATTATTTTGGTGCCTTTAGTGATTTAACCAAAAAGAATTTTTAGATCTTTTCAATTTTTACAATTGTAAATATATATATAAGGACTTGTTTATAATTTTATCTTTTTTATTATGTTTTTACTATGTAAGTTTGTAAAGCTGCCCAAACAATACTCAAAAATAAAAATAGAAAAATAGATAACCCAAAAATCAATTTGCCCAATACATTTAGTTTCCTAAAGCTGAGAGGACAAATCAGCAGTAATATAAAGCCCTGGCTTCATCATCCCCAAATATACCAGCGCACAAATTTTTCCTCTGAAATCGCCAGCAACGAACAAGACGATTAGTTAGCAAGGTCAAAATAGAGGAGGGATTCACAATTCACATTCCATCTTGTAGTAGTTGTGTAGTACTATTACACCCTAGGGCCAAGCATTGGCCCATTACAAGGTTGTGAGATACAGGCCAAAGTCTAGCACTGACCCATTACAAAATTATAAGATACAGGCAAAATAAGCCCATATCGAGAAAAGGCCCAAAGGAAAACTACCACGTTACACAATAACAATTGAAGAGTATAAATACCCACACAATAACCACTTTAGAGGTAATTACTCTTGATCAAATCACTCATTATATTTCTCAGTTGAGAGTAGGGACGTTAACGGGGTCTGCGAGGTTAGAGAGTCCCTTCCCGTCCTTGTCCCTGTCCCCGCGAGGATTTTTTATGGGAGCTAAATTTTGCCTCCCATTCCCATTACCATTCCCCACGGGGAACGGAGATCCTCGCGGAGATCCCCATTCCCTACCAATTAATATCATAAAATATGTTTTTTGCATCAAACATAAATAAAAATTGATTTAACATAAATAATTAAATCAACAAAATTGTTCTAAATAGAGATTAATCCAACATAAAGCAATATATTCCAAA